CCATATTTGCAACAAAATCTCCGCCACTCGTGCCTTTGAGCTCTCGTTGGCTGCTCACCAACCAGCCGTCAGATATCATGTGTTCGACGAAATGTCCACACGCGAAAGCCACAGCCCTCGCTCGCAGCCAAAATCCCGACTCAATCCGACCGTCCAACACATGATATCCGACGGCTGTTGTTATAATGGCCAAAGCAATAATGTTGGATATTTTCAAGCTTTATTTCAAGAATATTTAAAATATGGATTACTCGTTTTAAGTGATTTGTAATTACTGTGCTTAATTTTTTTTTAAAATTAAACAAAATATATGATGGATATGAAACATCTAAAATGCATATTCAAAGGAAACATCTCACACAAGTCAATTTGGATAAAAACTAGACAAAAATATCTAGTCCCTCTTTTTATTTTTGTGTTAAAAAATCAGCAAAATTTATTAACATTCTTTCAATTTTGGTGAAAAATTAGATTTTATGAGTTATTATCAAAATACTTTGGGGAATTGGAATAATAACATACATGGACATGTTTTTATTTGCACTTATACTTTGAGGAGTCATCCACAAATACACGAATCATACAATCGTAATTGGACCATATAAAAAAGAGTTATTATATTTAAATTTTTTGATAAACAATATACTACTCATAATATCTATAGAACGATAAAAATTATTTCGAAAGAGTACCATTTGGTTTTTGAAATTTTATCAATAGGTTTTAATAAAGAGTTTATAAATATTGTATATATTCCCCAATTAGACATCTTGCAATGTATTTTATATTAAATGTTTATATCATGTGTTGAATTTATATGTACAAAAGGGCCTTAAATATCTTGATATTTTTCTTTCTCTCATTAAGCAAATTATTTTATTAGTTGTGGACTTATCCACAACTAATAAAAGAACAGACTATATTTTATAATTAAATATCAAAAGACCCACAAGATTTATTCAAAATGAAATGAATCCACCTATGAACTACTCGATAGTGTAAGACAATTAAGTTTATACTAACAACATTGAAATGTTTATAAAATATTTATACATTTTTAAAAATTTTAATGATGGAACTTATATTTTATCATCTTAGTCCTCATTTATTTTTAATTATATATATTAACTATAATAGAGCACTAGAAAAATATGAACATTATACTGAATTGAGCATGAGGCAATGAAACTATATGAGTCAAACACTCTCTAAATATTCCAATGATTTACCTTATTATTTCTGTTTTTAGTCGTAGATTAGATAGCTTGCATGATTATTTAACTTCTTATTATGATTATTTATATTTTAATGTTGATATTAGTGAAAGAATATGAGAAGTTAAAAAAAATGATGGTTAATTTATATGATTATTATAGTACAAGTAATAATAATAGACAACAAAAGTCTTCTAAATGTAAGAATTGAGTAGTAAATTTTGTAGAGGAGTGAAATTATTATTACAAAGATAAAAGAAACTAAGGAGATCATCAAATTGAAACTTTGAGCTTGATATATATCTAACAACTTCAACACTATAAGTAATATCTTATTTGTAAGAATAATAAAATAATAATAATTTGATCTATCAATCAAAAGAATGATTGGGAAATCATCAGACGTATGAGCAATTGATGATTTTTTATAGATTCATTTTTATGTTATTATGCATATGAAAATATATGCACTTTTCAAAAGCGAAATCTTGAAATAAAATTATGACTTTTTTAAGTTAAATTATTCATAATAAAAATATTTTTTTAAGTTTAATTTGATTTCGATTCTCAAAAATAAAAATTAAAATTATCGATTTCAAACTCAAGAGGCGAAGCTTACAATTGTATCTCTCTTCTCTCACTGTTTGAGGTATGCATAAAGTGATATCGAAGATTTCCCCTATCATTCGATCCAAATAGGGACGATTATAAGAAGGCAAGTATGCGTCAAGTGCAGGGTGGGTTTTACATGTCGCCCAAAGTATGTGCAACGCAATCAACGGGACGTATGTAAATGATTTGGCCATTCTCCAATTCTTGCTCACATCAACAGTCGAATGCAATGCCAAAGGGAGACAAAATTAGATGTGATTTGGCCATTCTCCAATTCATACTCACATCAACAGTCGAATGCAATCCCAAGAAAATTTCATTCTTTTTATCGGAAAAGAAACTAGTCGGACAAGGGAGATAAAATTAGATATGTTGTCACATTCAAGATTTTTTTTTTTCCCACGAGTACCTCAGGAACCAAAATAATAAATATCATTTTATTAATATATATAAATTATAAATATTTATTATAATTTATTTATTCATCAAAACATAAGTCCAAAATAATCATAGACATTATTAAGAAATATATGAACGTCAACTCAAAAATAAAATTTAATTGGTTCTACGTAACGATAGAAAATGGGAAGACTAATATGAAAATCAAAGATAAAATAAAAAAGTTTCAGCAACAAAGTTCTTAAGTTATTTATAAAATAAATATATATTTAAAATTCAATCATCCTATTAGCATATATCAAATACTCGAAGAAGTACTTCCTTAATAAGAAATGAAAGGCTTTATCTAAGATTAGTTTATATTCTTAGATAAATACATATCGTACTTCAAACAACAAATACAGTAGTATTCCTCGTTCGCAAAAATGAAGATACATCCCTCCCAACAATAGATGTAGGAACCGTTCAGTAATTAATGACCCACTAATTCTCTAAGGGAATAGAACTACTTGCCCTCGATAGGAAAATAAAATCATCTTATATTAATCTTATTCATATCGAGATAAAATAATATATTAAAAAATTTAAATTTATTTTATAAATATTATTAATATCAAATAATATTAATTATCTCCTAATTAACTTGAATCTTAGCTCAATCGATCTAATTGAACTTAATTTAATTAAAACCTATCTGAATTGATCTTTAATCCTCATTTAACCAGCTTGGAACCATCCGACACTCATATAATTTGAATTAATTTTAGTTTAATTTAAATTAAATAAATCAAACCGATTTGAAATCACCGATCTAAACTGTATTTGATTCAATTAATATTTAGGTCCAAATCAAACAAAATAAAGGTAATGAGCTAGGCTATATTGGGCTAGCTGTATTGGTTATAAGCACTGCATATGACCGAACCTGCTAGCTGGGCTTAACCTACTGACTGATTCTAATCCAAATCCTAACCAATTCTCTAATTCTGAATTATAGTATAATAAAATTAAAATCAAAACATCTACTCATTAAAATTGAATAATTCAAATATAATAAATAAATAGTATTGATTAAAAAAATAAAATTATATTAAAAAAATTATTTTTAATAAACTATTTTATAAATCTAATAGAAATAAGTATTAAGAATAGCATCATGCAAGCAACATAAAAATTTTAAAAAGTATATATAGCATGAATAATTATAATATATTTTAATATAAAAAATATTAAATATTTGAACACATAGAAAAAAATTAGAAAAGAAAAGAAACCTATCACTTCATACAACTCCTCATTTTTCCAGAAATCACTCCCATTATTCTCCACCTAAGATAATATTTTTTTATTTTTATTTACCTTATTGATAAAAGATAACTGTTTCCTAAATCAGATTATTATGCCTAAATTTAAGAATTTGATTACATATACCCTTTAATTACCTTTCTATTTTAGCCCGTCCCTAATCTCCTATATAACCCATCACCAAGCCCTGGCGAAAACCATATAATATCAAGTGTTAAGTGCAGTAACGATCATGGCGGTCGTCGTCGAACTCATCTTTGTTGCTCTTGTTTCTCTTTGCATTATAAGAGGACGTGTCTTTTATGCTTCTCTTGGGTTCTCAGTAGAGAACTCCGTTGGGTCGGTGTGGAGTCGCTAAAGCTTGCCGTGCTTGTTTCGTAGGTTTGGCTGATTGCAGCATATCGGACATCAGCGTCTCTCAGTCCAGCACGGGGAAGACGGTGAACGGGAAGCCGGAGTTCGAGGTGGTGATCTCCAACCGGTGCATATGCTCGCGGTCGAGTCCTGGATTCAACACCGTGGAGGCGGTGGACTCGCAGCTGTTCCGAACTTACTGCCAATATTATTTATCATCATTATTATTAATCTCTCATAGTTTATAAGATTACAAGTCACATACATAATGACCGTACACCGTGACCTAATTCCACTAAGACTCCCAATACTCTCAATGCAAATCATATTTGTAATCACGTCCAAGGGTTAATTTATCTTCCAACACATGTTTCCACCCTTAAATAAGGAATCCCTGTCGGATGCACCAAAGGTAATCACAATAGGTACCAATTAGGATCAATCAGCCAAGAGCAATGTGGTCACTTTTATGGGCATTTGGCGATAGGAGAAGACAATAAATAAGTGGGTCTGATGGGTAGTGGGAGATCATTAGAGCTGCAAGCTGACACTAACAGTGGGATATGAAGCCAAGACAACACATGCGGCACTAATGGATCCCAAAGGCAAGAAGGCCATTGGGGGTCCGAAAATGACACATCCTTTTAACAACAAGAATCCTTTCATGACCCCTAACCTTTCATTTTCCGCACACACAGAGACTGAGATGTTGCACACACTAAACTGTTCTAAATGCCTTACACTTTATTTTGGGGGTAATCCAAGTACTGTGGGCTGATGGCGGAGGGTACAATTTTTCATGACTCTATAATTACAACACCAACGAATCATAATATTTCAATTATTTGGGGGCGTGACTGCGGCCCCCACTGCACGCAAAAGGAGGAGCAGAACCATTTGCTTAATCCTAGTTGAGTTTTTGTACGAGCATATATAATAAGATACATACATAAAAGTGGTTCCTTGGATTACAAACGAAGTGGAGATTGCATGAGGGAACAGAGAGACAGCACGAGGAAGAGAGAGAGAACAAAGTCATCATGTCATTTCCATATTGAAAAGTATTAGCAGCGTATTTGCAATCTGTCACGCGTTTCCATCCCCTGTCAACGCATGTAAACCCAAAATTAGCCAGATATGCGTTCTTTTATGGACACAAAAGATGCACGTGAGCCCCTGCTCACCACCACCCCACGTCCAGTTTAACTTGTACTCGCATTAACTACACTTCCCCCCGTCTCCATAACGAAGCCCAAAAGAGGCATCGGAGTCTACCTTCTCTCGCAACTCTCTCTGACAACCTACACCGAGTCTGCTGCCAGAAAACGAGCGGAGACAATAAAGTTGGAGACAAAGCAGAAGATGGTCAGCATCAGCGGCAGCTAAAAAGGTTAGGCGGAGAAAAGGAGGAATCAAAAGCAACAAAAAGCTCTTCTTTTTTTCTTTCTTTTGGGAGATTGGCTGCAGGCTGGTTTAGGAGGAGCGGATGCAGGAGGCGTTGGAGACGGCGAGGGGGTAGGAGAAGGAGTTGGCGTACTGAAACGAGATGGAGGAACCCGAGGGAAGGGGGCGGCCATCGTTGAGGAGGCAGTCGTTGACGCGGAGGCGGCGGAAGATGCGGGGGTTGACGAGACGAGCGGAGCTGAAGGCGCCGCAGGTGAGGTGGATGTGGGCCATGGCGCAGCCGCCACGCGAGGGGCACAGGTTCAGCACCACCACGGTGTACGTCGGGATCCCGCTGGGCAGCGGCGGCGTCGCCCCCTGGTGCACCACGATGTCGTCCTTGCTGCACCCGTCGCCCACCCGGTCAGTCGACGACGACGACGACGATGTACCTATCACATTCTTATCAGTCAATAACTTCGCAGTAGATAGGAAAAGAAATTAGAAGCGACAGGAGACAAAGAAATCTTCGTTTTGTCTCCATCACGCAAGCTAAGACAAAACTTCTTGGCATTCGGCTTCCAAACTCTTATTATACGCAGGAGTGCGGCCGCATCGCATACTTAACACTGTAGGCCATGTACGAATGCAACATAAGCTATTATATCTCTAGACTGTATGTTTCACGATTTAGATCAATTCTGTATAGACGCTGAAGCCAGAGACTGATGAGCAGAAGCTGCTGCTTTACCACTAAACTAACCGGAAGTGACCATACCAAACCGTGTCCTCCACTAAGAGAAAACGACGTGAAGGTGGAAAGGTAAACAAGGGACCGGCAGGACGTCAGACGAAGAGGAGGGAGGGAGGGAGGGCGACTCGTCATCGCGTTCCTTCCCACTTCCCTTTTCCGTCGTGGGCATCGACAAAGACGCACGGAATTGGTTCGTGGGCTACTTCCGTGGGCGGGCAGGAGTTGTCGTCTGGGAGGCGGTGGCGCTCGCGCCGTGGGGGGCAGTCGTCGTACGAAACCACCTGCGGGTCCTACCAGATAACAGGGACGGAGATCGGACGGTTCGGGGACAGCGATTTGTCTTAAGCTAACGGTTCGAGTAACAAGAACAGTACCTTCGTCGACTTGGAGGAGCTTGCGGTTGGAGCCGGAGCCGGAGCCGTGTTGCTCGGATCCGAGTCCGATCTCCCTTTCAGCATCTACTCGCTGCCCATAAAAACCTGAGGAAGAAAAACAAAGGAGAAAAAAAAATTCTTATTTTTAAATTAAAAAAAAATCTGAAAAAAAACGATGACAGGAAAGATAGAGAAGGCTGGTTTTACACCGACCGACGGTGAGCAGAAACAGGAGCGTCACAACAGAAACCGATATCGCGGCCGTAGCCGCCGCGAAACGCCGCCTCGAGACGCCACTCATCCTCCGCCTCGAGACACCTAAACCTGGCTACTTGGTTCGCTGAAGTGACTACTCGTAGTGCGACGAGCTCACCAAGAGCTTAAGCAACCCTCGTCTTCTCGATCTTTTCCGCTTTAGAAACCCTTCCGTGAGGCTTGCAGCTGCAGAAAAAGGCACAACGAATCAGTATCATGGAGTAAGAAAGGAGGAGGAGGAGGAGAAGCGATTCGACTTGAAGACGCCTCGGATGTGGAGCCGGAGACCACCACAACAAGCAGTGTCGATCGATCGATCGATCGATCCCATCGCTACCTATGCTCTCCAAGATGGCACTAAAGGAGGTCCTCTTCGGTTGATGGGAGACCATCCGTGGCCTCTCCCAAGTCTTCCCACTTCCGGCATGCGACCTCGGGACTCGAGGGCTCACGAGTACAACCCCTCCGCGACGAGGGCTTGTCCCTCGGACCAGCAACAGCGTGGGAAATCACGCGGGGTTCCACAGCCGGAAAAGATCACGCAGAGGGGACGAGGAAGAGAAGGGCCTCCGACGTCGATGGAAGTAGCACGAGAATGGCAACCAAAGGAGGTACAAAACTGATCCCCAAGATATCCATGGCTCCGATCCGAGCTCAACGAAACTCAAAAAGGACAAGAACAAAGGTCGAGAGAACGGAGGACTTTTTGGCGAAAGATCGAACCTTTGGGGGGCGCACGGGAAAGGAACAATCGCCGTGGGGAAGCGCGCTAGCGATCAGATGGAGACCGAGAGACGAAGTCTCTCTCCCCTCCTCCCTCTCCCTCGTTGTTGTCCGACCGAAGGGAGTGTCGCGTAGCGTAGGCGTATGGCCTGCGAGTCTATTTATATGGACGTTAAACCCGGTTTAGCTTTTGTAGTTGAGCCAGCTTAAATCTAACCCGGTTCAGTGTTTGCCTTAAGCTTCCAATTGTTATGATAGTTACCAAACTAGAAAGAAAACAACCCGCGTCGGGTTAATTATGCCGGTTTGATTTCAAAGAGGTCCGGTTTAACAGCGGATATATACATGTTCGCGCTAGTTTTTGTGTTCATCATCGGCGATACCGCTACGGGGTTTAGACGACGTAGCCGAGCGCGGAGAGAGCGGGGCGTCGGACGCTGCTTTCCGAGAACCAGTGCCGGCGGCTTTATTGTAATAAAACTTAATGTGAGGCCGAGGTTAATAAGCCGCGCGTACGAGGTCGCTCCACCCGCGCGCGGAAGCTGCAATAATGGCGACGAGAGAGGCGACACGTGCGGCGCCGACTGGGTTGCGTCGCTCCTGTCATCTGAGTTGCACGTGAGCCAGCTAATGAGAACATGACGTGTTTACTTGTAAAAAGACAGAGTTACCCTCATCGACCCCTACTTGTGTGTGGAAATAGATAAGCTGATACATTGAATGACTCGAGGATGTTTAGATCAAGCGTTACTGTTGCAATTGGGAGACCAAATTGAAATTGGAACTCACCCGCTTATTGTTGGATCCTACAATGACTTATCACTCACATTAGTATTTGTTAGTGTTAGGCAGATGTCGCACTTTTATTGTCTTCTTCTTCCCCAACAATTAAGAAATAGATTAAATGAACTAAAATTTTTTTCTTCTATTCACCAAATAAAAAGCAAATACTACAAACGACAATGATATAATGCTTAGATTTGTATGAATTACGAATCCAGAAACCATCCAATGAGGCAAAACAGTTGGAATTTTAGCTCCTAAATCCAATTATCTCCAAAGTTTCCAAAAAAGTGATACATCTGAGGAGACAATTAATAAGCTCAATGCAGAGAAACATATGGTTCAGTACTCAAAAACACAAATTTCCAGTTATTGTTGCATGGACTGGAACTTCTTCATGATGAGCATGCTCAAGTCCATGTACCGTTGAGCACAATTGGTAAGGCAAGCTGATTCACTGGAGCTGAACTTACTGCCAGGAGTACCAGTGATGCACTTATCCCAGCATTCATTCGTAAGTTTCCCAACCATCTCACTGACCATAGCTTTTTGCTTCTCTTGCTACAGTAAACAACACCCATCGTTTAAAAAATAATTTATTTAGAGGAACTAAAGATCAGAATAAAGGAGAAAAGAACAGGGAATTGGGGATTCCCTTTTAGTTAGTTTCTTGTAAAAATTCATGGAAGATGAATGCAAATCCAAGAAAGCAGATTGTATCATACTGTCTGTCACTTTACATTAATTACTAGGTGTGCATTTCAAGAATCGAATCCAAAGTTCTATTGGAAAAATTACAAAAAACTTTCTGTTGATACAAGGAATTCAAAAAGAAGAATAGTTTCAATAAACTTACTGACTTCAGATGCACATGGCATATGATTACTGAGTAGCTACTAAAAATGGCATTATTATCTCAAGAGAAAGTGAAAACTATGAGAAAGGTTCTTGCGTTGCACCAGAATAAGTAGGAGTGGGGGTAGTGCTAAATTGGTGTCTAACAAAAGACAAAAATGAAAAGCTAAGTGAGGAAGCTGTTTGATAGAAAAAAGGGAAGATGAAGTGCATAACATGTATATTTCAGCCTTGTATCAATGTGCTATCTGGCAACCATGAGGGTTCTAATGAAGTGCCAGCCTTTCTATGGCATGTTGCTTCATTAAAAAACAAAATGTCTCATTAAAAGCATAAAACTGATCTGAAAAGATCAAAGTGCAATAATGTTCTGACTCCAAGAAAATAACATCAGTTCTGATTTTAGTTGAAACAGTGCAATGTTGTGATGTTCTTCAATATTAGGAAAAGAAGGCATCTTGTTGATAAGAAGAACCTGACCGTATGAACAGGACGGGAATACAGGCAAATAAACAATAAATATCAACCTAACATTATCATAGAAAATATTTAGGAGGATGGTCAGAAATCTCGTGTGAAAAAAATGCCATTGCATCAAAAGATGCTGCATGATCAAAGATGTTCATCATTCCATCCTAGTCTACCTTTAATGTACATAGAAAACAAGGAGACCAAAACAGAGCACAAGTATTAATCAGTAAAGTACACTAAAATCACAAACGAAATATTCAGAGACGAGAACTCAGATGAGATTTCTGCGACTATGGAATCCGAACAGACGACAATGGACAGACACAAAAATCCCCACGTCCAGATAAAAAACATCGCTACTTGCTCAAAGCTAGATCCAAAAATTACTCATTACTTGCACAAAATCAAACCTTAGACCTCGTAGCCCAAAGCATATGCTATCAAGTATCGACTAGAACGAATTAATCTATGCAAAGCCAACATCAAGAAACGTGGCGTGTCGTGGATGTGGAGAAAGACCAGTCATCGAAAGATCGAAAGAACTTAGAGCAAATAATTCTAACCTCGAGAAACCGTTGCAGTTCCGGCGAGTTATCCATTTCCCGCCGCAATCCAAAAGCGATCGATCCACCCAATGGAACCACAACCCTCAAAAACCCTAATGCATCGGCCACCTACATTTATAAACGAAGTTAATGGGCCGGTGTGGGCCGAGTTGGGCTGCTGGACTAATATTTGAGAAGCAAACATATGAATGAATGGTATATTTGAGAACCAAATTATTAGTTGGAATTTGGCTTTGTGCAAAGTTTTTCTTTTCTTTTATTTGGAAAAAAAGTAAAAAAATTAAAAAATTTCTCTCTTAAAATTAATGGTTTAATTCTATTATTTCTGAAGGGATAGTATTTCTTGGGTTGAGGAGATCTGCAAAAAATCTACACCACCAGATTTCACTATAAAACAGTATTTATATGCTTAAATTTCTTTAATTAGTTCTTCATTTATATTAATTGAGACTTAATTCCAAGATTATTACCATATTTTTTTCCGCGATGTTCCTGTTAATTCTGAGTTTCCATGCAATTGATCTAATAATCGCATGCACTCTCTATATGTTTATGCTTCTTCAACACACTTAATGGCAACACATTCACATAATAAGCTCTTCAAAGTTGCATTGCATAAAGGTCAAGCATGCATGGTAAACTTGCATCTGGTGCATGCAAACATTCACATAATAAGCTCTTCAAAGTTGCATGTCATAAAGTTCAAGCATGCATGGTAAACTTGCATCTAGTGCATGCAAACAGTCACATAATAAGCTCTTCAAAGTTGCATGTCATAAAGTTCAAGCATGCATAGTAAACTTGCATCTAGTGCATGCAAACATTCACATAATAAGCTCTTCAAAGTTGCATGTCATAAAGTTCAAGCATGCATGGTAAACTTGCATCTAATGCATGTTGCATGCTTTTGACAGGAAGCAGCAGACAATTTCGAGTGCAACTCATTCCTTCATGATGCTCTCTTGCAAGCCATAAATAATACACGATTTCTTAGCAGAAAAACTGAATGTAAAAGCTGCTTGTGGAATCCATTGCTGTTTAATACAAATTAACTCAACCATTTGAACATAGTACAGGGGGGACATGGTTTGCAACTTCCACATTGATAGAAGGGATGTTAAACAAAAATAAGAAAGCATGTTTAATTAGCACGACTTACTGAGCTAACTGTACATAAGAAAATACCATGACGATTAAATGTGGATAACCTAATTTAGCTTCTGATGGACAAACACGGCTTTTAAGGGAAGACCCGAACATAGACAACTTTGTGATTAGTTGAATTTGCTTCCAGCAAGGGGAATTTTCGGTTCACTGACAACCGAGAATTTTCTACTCCAGCTTCTTGTGGCCCTGTGTTTCATGCTTGGGTGGTTCCACAGGGAAGTATTTGATGCCCGCAAGATCGCCGACTTTGCTGATAACCTGGAGTTGCAAATCAAAGAGTGACTCGATTACACCATGAGCAAGATCAATCTAATCAGGCTAAAAGGTTGTCAATCTCCAAGAAATTAACTTACCTCCAGCCCTTTGATCAGGTCCTCTCTGGAATGTGCAGCCGATATACAAATACGAGCCCTTGCAAGAAGAAGAGGTGTGGCCGGAAATGCAACAGTGACAACAGCGACCTACAGAGCAGAATAATCAT